GAGGTCCCATTTGACCCAGCTATTCCCCTGCTGGGTATCTTCCCCAAAGAATTAAAAGAATCATACCACAGCGATATATGTGCACCCATGTTTATGATGGCACAGTTTGTAATAGCTAAAGTTTGGAAACAGCCCAAGTGCCCATCAACTGGAAACTGGATAAAGAAGATGTGTTCATTTTTTATAAAATGGAGTACTACTTAGCCATAAAGAATGAGAAACTGGAGTCATTTATAGCTAAATGGATGCATATTGAGGCCATACTCTCAAGTGAAATAAATAGGACACGCATGTGTAATACCGAATAGTTTCTGTAGTGTGAGAAACTGAAAGTGTAAATAAGAATGAAAATGATTAAAATGAATAATTGATAATTTGAAATAGGAAAAGGTCCAAAGGTGTAGGGGTGGTGGGAGGGAAAGGGGAAAGGGAAGAAGGGAAAGGAAAAATTATGAGAAAGAAAAAAAAATGGAAAGAAAATCTATGAAAATAGGGAAGGGTGGAGGGGGTGAAGGGCACACAGGTAATGGGGGAAAAATAAGAACTAAGATACATCATGTTCAATTACAAGCACCCAATGATAAATGTAAATGTATTGTATACCTAGAATGTACCAATTAATATATAAATAAATAAAGAATTGATAAGCCTCTTATCAATAGAATTATCAAAGCATTGAAAAAAATCCACATGAATCATGTGGGACAATGCTTGTCATGAAGCAGGTGCAATGTCATTGTTATCACCCGCTAGGCTTCCTTCAAGGCTCCGGAAATCTAACTGGTGAAATATTTTGCAGCTGGAAAATGGGGTACTTATGGTTTCTCTTCCTTAGCTATTGCTCCTTTATAACTTCTTAAATTTTGTCAGTGTTGTGATGTTTAACCTGTACAGAGGTGAATTAATCAACATATAAATCCAGCTCTAACCTGAAAAAAAAAAAAGGATATAAGAGGTACAGTTTCTTTCATAAGTATTTGGAGACAAATTCTCTTTAAGAATTCTGTTGGAGGCAAAATACAGACACATCACCAGGGTCCAAACAGAACCAGAGTTTTGATCATTTGATAAAAAGACTCAGAGAATGATCTAAGCTACTATTGCTTTAGATCAGTACCTGAAAAGGTAGTTTTATCATTATGCTTTTATGTTTTAAACCTCAAATGTGTAAGCTTTGGTTAACTTTGTATTAGTTGCCTTAGGAAAGAAGTATGAGGACAAATAAGGTAGTTTCCCAGATTCTGGATTTGAATAAGATGGAGCTCTGTGCGTGCGTGCGTGCGTGCGTGCGTGCGTGCGTGTGTGTGTGTGTGTGTTGTTCAGAAAGGTCTCACCCATTCAGATATTCTTTTAGGGTAACTTTTCTATGAGTAAGCACCACATATTTAAAACTGTTCTAGATTTAGGGCCAATTTAGTTGGAAACTTTGAACTTATCACCAATATAAAGAAATTCAACATTATCATGTTTTGAAAAATGGCCATGGGGCTATTGATTTCTATGCCTGTGTATTGATTCTTTAATATTTATTGAATACATTCAGGGTATATAGGATGATTCTGTCTTAGTTACTTTCTCACGCTGAGACAAAATACCTACCACCCACAAGTTAAAGGAGGAAAGATTTATTTTGGTTCACAGTCCATAGTTAGGTGGCTCCAGGGCAGCACGGCATGGCAGAAGGGGATAGCAGAGGAGAAAGAGCTCATGGCATGATAGGCAGACAGCAGGGCAGAGATGAAGGAAGGAGGAGGGATGTATATCATTCCAAGTCACTCCCACAGCGATCTGCCACTTCCCAAAAGGCTTAAGCTCCCATCATCACACCTAGCTATAAACTCATCAGTAGACTATTTCAACATCACACCTCCAGTCACGTTTTAAAAGCCCCACCTATAAATGCATGAGGCTTTGTGGGAGACATCTAGTTATAAACCATAATAGATGCCAAGGTAGTAGACATACACTCGGGGGATGCAATCTGTGGGACAGGGTTCCTTTCTTCTACAACAGTTCCTCCTTTCCTCCTTGAAAAGCTAGATGTAGAACAGATCTCTAGCTGCTCTTCCAGCACCCACCCTCATTTTGCCAGGCGATGTGGTTAGTAGTGGAGGAAAGAATGTAGTGTCCTTTGCTCATCCCTCTGGCTGGTGGTGCTAAGACATGGTGGATTGAGCCATGGCCCAAGAAGTAGGAACCCAAGGAGCAGCCCCACTTTGGGGCTGTCCAACTTGGCTGGGCAGCAGCACATGTTCAGACAATTCTTGCAAGAGAAATAACTTGCATCTTGTTGATGTCACTGTTAGTTTTGTTTCTATTTTGGGAGTGGAACCTGGATGCTCATTACTTTGTGACCCAGTGGGCAGATGAGAAGTAGGATGAGAAGAGAGGAAACTAAGAGAAAGTGGGTTGGGGTGGTTTCTAAAGCTGTTTGGAGAAAGTGAGGTCTCTTCAAGTGGCTCAGAGATGGCAGGGAGGTCAGGCCAGATGGATGAAACGAGAGGAGAAGGAAAGCATGGGTATAGAGTGGGAACCAACAGGATTTGGACATCTTATAGAATTTCAAATGTATCCTGGAAGCAAGAGGGAATCCTGGAGTTTTGTGTTTTCAAGTTGGTGAGAAACTCCAGAGCTGACCGTGCCTGATGGAGGGAGACCAACTATAGTTTGGTGCAGGGTCCCCAGCTATGTTTCGCAGAAGCCCCAGGGGTCTGTAAAAACTTCCAGGTGTGTGTGTTCTGAGTGTCAAAGCTCTGGAGTCACTTGCTGTAAGTACATCTCAGCTCCCTTGTTAACTGGCAGTGAGATTTTCAAACCTCTGTTTCCTTATCTATAAAATGGTGATAAGGGTTGTCCCTTTCTTGTGGTGATGTGGTGAGAAATAAGGAGCTACTATATATATTAAATATAAAACAGTGCCGAGTGTGTATTAGATTTTCAGAAGATCTTGGCTAGTACTATTGTTATTGCTAGTATAACTGTTAAACCAATGCTGACAGGTGGGGAATGGAAAATGGATAACTGATTGGGCATGGCAGTTAGAAAATTATAGTTTTCACTGGAAAATTCCTACTGGAAATGAATTCTGCTTCTAAGAAATGAGGATTCAGTTGATGTTACTTCAGTGAACTGTTTGCCAGGTATCTTGGGAGATTACAGTATGATGGATCAATGACTGCAGCACAGCTGTGCACCATCAAGTGTGTGGGTAGCACTTGAAATCTATGGGGCAATTTCTATGGCTTATGGTCAGGAGCTTCTAGGGTTTGGACGTGGTTTGGGTGTTTCTCCCAGAGATTCATGTGCTGGAGGTATGGCCCCCATTGTGGTGATGGGCAGAAGTGGTGCAACTCTTAAGAGGTGAGGCCCTCTACACGGTAATTAGGTTCCTGGGGGCACTGCTCACTGGATTAATGCTAATCTGACAGAGTGAGTTAGTTCTCACAGGAGTGGGGTGTTGTAAAGCAAGGCCACCCCACATGCTTGGCTCCTCTGCACAGCGTCAGTTGCCTTTCTTTATCTCTGTCATGTTTTGATGCACTCAGGAGGTCACCACCAAAGGCTGAACAGGTGGGGCTTCCTAACCTTGGCCTTTCAGCCTACAAAACTATAGGCTATATAAACTCCTTTTCTGTGTAAAGCACCTAGCCTCAAGTATTTTGTTGTAGCAACAGAAAACAGACTAATATAGGAAGAGTGACTTTTTTGAGGGTAAATTTTCTAAATTCAGTCCTTCCCAAGTTGAATTCATATATCTTGTTTTTTGTTTTCTCCCAGAGACCTTAGGATTTACCTTTGTTTCCAATTTGTTTTCATCTGCTTTTCTTCCAGGAATCTTCCTGCTGGCTGCACAGAAGAGCAAGGAGGTAAGGAGTATGTCTTTTGCCCT